GTCCTCATATGACCCTGGCTTTTGTGTCTCCCTAGGCACCTGCCCTCATATGTCCCTGACTGTTGTGTCTTCCTAGATACCCGTCGCTATATGACCCTGGCTGTTATGAAGACGTTAAAGCTCAAACAAATAAACAGGTAATTCTGACTTTAAATTAAGGCACCTGTCCTCTTGTGACCCTGTCGTTTACGAGGACGTCAACGCCAAACAAACTGTAAAAGTTTCTCACTGTAAATGTTATAAATTTGTTGTTGATGATATGTAATTATACTCGTATTAGATCTTACATCTTTGACATCGAAGTGGGGAAAAAAATCCAGAAGTCTTTAATAATGAGTCTAAGTACCTGATGGTGAGATGTACCGCCGCCAACAATACAAAGGAAATAACCTCGCCAAGAGACATAAACCAAACTGAACTATGAAATAGTGATAAGTGATTTGTACTATGTTAACTGTACTAGTATACATTTTAAGATATATTCTTAACATCTCTTGATTACATACACACATTTTCATTATGTGTTTAATTTGTAATACTGATCATTTTGATTGAAATGTCTCTTTTATAAATTTTATTTATTTATGGCTAACGGTATACGCATGTCGTCATAATTTATAAATTTGAAAAAAAGCAGAGTTTTCAGACACATTTTGTCGAGATACATATGTTTTAAGTAGTTAACTCGGCCATTTATCGTGTTAATACTCAGATGTGATATCGACTTACAATTAAAACTTGTACTAGCTATATTGTTGATATTCGAAACCCGAAACAAAGCGTATTGCTGAGCAGACCTTATAAGTATAAGCCGTTAGTACATCACATGATCATTCCTGGAAAATGATTGGTCACCTATCTATTTTTTACTGTTCATACTAGTTTAAAGTTAATGCGAATTGTATATAGATTATGTCGACTCATACGGAGATTATGTCGACATCTTTTCAAAGTTATGTCGACATCTTTTCAAAGTTATGTCGACATACGTAAATTGTAAACAATCACAGAAATATGTGTGTTTCAGTTAACGTCAAGGTACCCAACTCGGGATACTTTTTAGTGAAATATTGATGTAATTCATAGCATAAAAGCGATTCCAAACATTTTGTTCATTTTTTCGAATATAGATATCATTATCTTTTCATTTTGATAACAAGTTGATATTTTCGGCGTGTGGTTCTATAAAGAGAACCGGAAATATAGTCATGATTACGTCATCGTGAAACAGCTGTAGCTGTACCCAAATCGGGACACCCCTATCAGTTTTGGCTTATACTTGGAAATGAAAAAAGTATTTAGCAGAACATGGCATTTCTTTGGAATATTTAAGAGTCAAGGGTTGCTCTGAAAGAATTTCAATTTAGAACGTTACAATTTCGTCATTTTTCACAAACTAAAACTGTGATTATAACCATAAGTGGCAGTTAATAAAGTACATATAGTGTTTTATTGGTAGATAAGCATCTATAAATCAATATTTTCAATTTAAAAATACTTCTTTGCAGAGCATACAAATTTCTTGTAACTTTTTCCTTCAAGTGTACCGATTTGGGTATTGTCCCGATTGGGTACTGTCCCGATATTTATACAAAATACAAGTTTAGGTGTTTGTATCAAATTGGAAAAAATGAAAACAATATAATGCATGTATTTATTATAAAAATATTATAGCGTCAACACATAAATACAAAGCATTGGAACTCCATCTCAAATCCATTTCAATATGCGAAGGCAGCAACAGGAACCGAAACGAAAAAAAACTCATATTTATTCTTGTTGTTAGCCATTTGAACAGTCATCGGAGTCGACCTCGCTTCGCTTAACAATTAGAATAAATTAACTCAACTAAAAATGTAAGATAAACATGACAGCTACCTGCCAGGCGTTTACAACGTCATTAACGTGATGAAAAGCGGAATATGGTATAGCCCTTCCTTTATCTTATTTGAATGTAATGAACTTGTAAATTAGCTATTTGAATAGTACAGGTACAAAGCGAGGTTACCGTATTCATTAATAATGCATTTGGGATGTGTACTCTTGAAAATAGGTCCCCACACTTATCACATGTCAATCTCTTTTGCAACCAAACAGAATACTAAGAAATTATCTAAAATTTATATACCTAGGTCATGCGGAGCTTATTTATTTGTGCTTGCCCCCCAGCAATATCCCACTGTTTGCCGTAACAGGCGACCAATGTTTGGGACCCCTGCAGAATCCGGATTTTCCCACTTGTGTCTTCCGTTAAGGGGACTCTGTGGACACCAGAATTGATCTGCTTCAGACATTTGTAAATTTTGGATATTTGTGTTCTCTCTGCTTCATATCAACCTTTTTTCCCCAAGTGTCTTGCTTGACAATACCCCACTTTTGGCCCCAGTGCTGCACGTTTGCTCAAGTGGGGTAGGCAAAGGGTTCGGTCCTCTGGCCAGGACATACCAGACTCCTTCAAAATGTTTTTTGTAATTCCACGCTTAACATTCAGTTTTGAGGGTTTTCGCAACAACTAGTTTACCCTTTGTCAGTATAAAGTGATTTGTTTGAATGTTTGTTGACAGGCAAGTAGCACTCTAAAGTCGGCATCGGATCTGCGATATCACCAAAAGGCAAATACAGCATACATGAACAAACACATAATTTATTATGTACTCATACATAATACATACGAAGGCATGCCCTTTTAAACCTTAGCTGTTAATAGGGCGTTATATGAAGCGTTTGGTTTGGTTTAGTATAGTTTAACGGCCTATCAACAGCTACGGTCAATTACGGACGGCCTACCATGTGTGCAAGATGCATGCCTTTAGTGTATGCGTGTGTGTTTTGGGAGACTGCGATATGTTCGTGTTTGTCTCCTTGTGATAGAGCGGAACTGATGCCGAGGATATCCAGCAGGACACTCCATCCGGTCACAATATACTGACAACTTGCGAACCAGTCGTCCCACTCCTAACTTGCCTAGCGTTAAGCAGGAGTACAAACTACCATTTTTACAGACTCTGGTATGTCTCGGCCAGGGGACATAACCCAAAGCCTTCCTCACAGGGGCGAACGCTAAACTAAAAGCCAAATGTGAGGCATTGTCAAGGGAGACATTAAGAAGAAGAAAATTGTTTAGAAAGAAGAGAAAATATAAGATCCAAAATTTAGTCTCCTCTGACGATCATGAAATGGGGGCAGCAGGTACAATTCTTACGTCCTACATGCAGGGACTTATGTGGAGAGGCATACCGGCATCAACATGCGATAACTGCACAAAAAAATAACATATTTTACCCAAATGAATACATTTGTACATTCACTTTGTTACGAGTTTCCTGTCTTAGCATAAAATGTTGTTATGAAGAAACTAGACAGTTTATAAACATATTGCATGGTAACACTATTTCAGTATTTATGTTTATAACATGTCTAGCACATTTATAACATCACAAATTGTTATGAAATGTTTTCTTAATTGTAATTTGATAAATTATATTAATAGAGACTTTTACTATGATTTTAGTCGTTTTGCATGGATTTCATGCTGGTATGCCTCTTCACAGCTATTAATTAAGTATGAACTGTTTTTGTATGGTATTTATGATCTATTTGAATGACAAGAGATCATAAATACCATACAAAAACAGTTCAATGCTTAATTAATAGCTGTGAAGAGGCATACCAGCATGAACTGTTTTTGTATTGTATTTATGATCTATTGTCAATCAATTAGATAATAAATACCATACATAAACAGTTCAATACATAATTTACGTTTTCTCTGCCTCTGATGTTCTTTTTTAACTTATAACTTATATTCAAAATCAAAAATGCCCTCCTTATCGACAGTCCACACAATTTCATCCAATACTTTGACCAGCGTATTGTCGCGTGCTGATTGGCAAACAAAGTAGTACTTTGAAATTTTAACAAACACTTCAATCTTATTCCACAATTCAGTATCAATACAATTGCGTATGATATGTCTATAGGGTGATTTAAGTTTATCAATAGACTCTGAGCTGAAAGTTAGATTTGATTTTTTTTCGATTTTTCCCCCGAACAAATTTCGCGCATGGACAAATACAGTGAACACCGTAAATCCTACCTTGCCCTCCACGAGGAAGTTATTTTTGGAAGTTAATTCGAACTTTTCTCTTTGCTCATTTTGTGAAGAATCCAGGCGTGAATGTATTTGTTGAATGTATGGGAACCTGACAACAGTCGGAAGATTCTATAACAGCTTCGTTATTTGACATGTCGTCAGAAACTAAGGAACCGTGGATGCGAGACGCTTGAAACTGATAGCGTTTGAAGTGAGTGATCTTGCGACGGAGCTCAGGTTCGTTACAAAAGTCTGAAATGTTTATGTGTGCTGTGACCCATATCAGTAGGTCAGTAACATATGTGTCAGTAGGTCTTTATAATATGTGTATTTCAGACATGTGTAACGAACCCCTGTTGATCAGTGCAGTGTAACAGATGATATTTCTGATAAATTGCATGAGCGTTGAAATTATTTCCATGGCCGGCATTGGTGATTTCTACCGATGTGCATTTTGTACGATTTTACAGACATTGGTCTTGTTTTCGTTGTAAGAAAAGGTGGGTTTTTTTGTGTTTTTTTTTTAATGCACATAAATTTACAATGACAATGTCAAATCTCACAATGCCCAGCGATATTTCAGCAGCCGTCATGTTTATTTATATTGGATATTGTAGTTCCGGTCAGTGTTGTATTAATACGCAAAGAATTGTGTCTCGTGATGGATGGTAATTAACAACGACACAGCTTTCAGAGAGGCTATATAGTGACAATGCCATGCAAATGTAAATATAAGTGAAATGAAGCTCAGCATTACTAATGTATGTAAATGAAATTTAGATATGTCAATTCGTAGCATTCAATTTGGGTGCTAATAACTTATTTTAGGGGGCTTGTTGAGCCTTAACCATATAGGTATTTGGTCATTAAGTGCATTTAAGTGAATAATAAGCACTATAATACAACTGATATACAAAAGTCTTTACTGATGAAAAGTTGTTTTTTTCCAGTTCTAATAGCTGCGTATCTTGACATCTACAGTAATAATAATGATCACTTTTCTGCCAAACCATATAACGGAAAGGACGACTGATTGAATTGTTTTCGTTTCCTCATTGCAGACTACCCTGTTGATGGAACCTACGCGATACAGCTGATTCGCTACACACGTGTATACATTATAGTATTTAATTCAAAACATGCGTCCAGCAGTCAAATAAACTATTTAGTACATGATATCTTTCTATTTGTATACTGAAGCATTTGTATGTGGAGTTCATGATGTGTTTCCTCATGTTTTAGGATAGCATAAGTTCCTATCGCTGAGTTCAGATTTCGTATTTATACATGTATGCTTACGCTGTGTTATATCATTCGTTATTTTAAGATGAGTTATTGCGCAATTATCCTAGTCCTGTGAAGGTTATGATAATCAAACAATATGCAAAGTCTCAGATGTAATATTTACAAGCAGATTTTATTTACAAACAAGCTATCTGTTTACAAAACATGTTAACGAAGAGTTACCCCCATCCCCCGTTAACCACTATACTGTTTGATTGGTTATAATTCGGTCATATTTTTTAAGCAATCTTACACAGGAGTGTGTTACTTAGGAAATAACGTAGAACATTGCAACGTTCACACTTTAAAATGAATTAACGCTACCAAAATTACTCAAATGTTTAAATATCTGTTCATTTTTGATATTACAAAACTTCAAAGGTATTCACATTCTTCTAAAATGTTGGTGTTCTAAAGAAAGACATTCTTTGTCAAACAGAGCTTTCAATACGAAAAACATCTGGAAATTTCTCTCGCAGTACTTTCAGGATAACTTTACAATCTTCCTTCAGCAATACTTGCCGCAATACGTTTGGTGATGCCCTTTGTATACCACTCCAATGGTTACAGCATTGGAAGATTTGTTCTCGGAGGTTATGAGGGTGGTCGCTCTCCGCTACCTTAATCTCTGTGTCAGCCTGTTCACCTTTAAGTCCCGAATCTAAACATATCATCAGACTATGTTATGTAAAAGAAATGGTAAGATCGCTCTGTTATGAAAACCCTATTGTTGTATGTTCAGAGATTAGAATATAAAACGTGCTTTATAACGCAAACAGTCCATTACTATCTTAATAGTATATATTATTATTGTATAATATACAACAGGTGTACCTTTACGTAAACTACGGTACACATCACAATTAATGTATAACATTTCCCCCCTTACGTAAACGTCGGTATCCGTCCGTTAACACCTAACACTTAAACAAGTGTTGTACAACATATGTTCACTTGCTAGCTACGATATCCTGTCATTGACCCATTTTATTTTGACAATTACTATTTGACATATCTATGCGTTTAGTTCAATATATTTTCATATTGATTAATTACTCTTTATAATAAACAATTTCAGTGGAACCTGTATCTCGTGCATTCCCTTATTTGTTGTATTGTCAGGAACACCGTTTAACTTAAATGCAGCGTACTGTCATAGATAAACAAAATGTATTATTCTCCATTAAGAAGCTTATTTTCATATGGATACCGTTTACCATCAGAAGTGTCATTACCTTTTATTTAGAGACAAACCATATCAATGTTCCTTACCTTCATAAAGTTGACGAATAATGCGTTGCCACGACTGAGCGGTAATTAACTCCTCACTCAATGCCATCATTACTTTACCACAGTCGTCACACCAAACGTCACCACTTCTCATGAAATCCTGGACAAGGTTATGATGTACGAATGGATAAGGTGACTGGTGACCTGTAGGAGTAGGCGGATTTTGTATATTGAAAGATAGCGTACTCACTGGGGATGATGGTTCGGATGATCCCCCAAACCCGTAGATATTATTTTTCATAAGGTACCCTTCCGTCCTGTAAAAACATAAAAAAAAATTGTAAACAAGCAGCCATTAACAAAATGATTCATTGATGAGCTATTTTCAAGCAATACCATAATTATGTTAGAGTGTTAACTAGCATGTATTACTCTGGCCTTTCAGTCTTTCATACTGAAAACATTTCATATTGCAACCCCTAATAATACAGGCGTAAATTGATGATACAAACTGCATTAGCTAAAGTCAGTTTTAATTTCTAAAATTATTTATCACATAACTACTCTGAGTCTATTATGGCGATGTCACAATTCAGCCAATCACAGAACTGGAAAAGTAGTATCAACAGTTTGACAGCATACAGTTTGACAAGAATACAGAAGAAAAAAATTGTATAAAAAAAAATCTGTATTCTTGTTTCTGTAATTTACCAGCTGAATCTGATGAACTGATCACTTTCACTCGTGCGATTCCCTCTAACTATTCACAGCGAAACACTTTCTTATTCACTAACCAAAACAAGTGTGGTATGATAGGAAATACAGCAATATTTGTTATATATTTAGTTTATAGTATTTAATAAGTGGGAAAAAAAGGTTTGTGATCTGAAGTATTCCTTTCCCACTGCAAGCAACAAACTAACGGATTCCATACGTCATTTTTAAGCTTACATCATTTCTCCTTTTTGCTTTTGCCACAATGTTGATAGTTGTGTTTGCTTTATATGTGTTACATTTGTATACTTCAAATAAAGACCCTTTTGATTCAATGAGAATATTTCAGTTTCATTTTTCTAAATTCGATGAAATTAAAATCGGTAATTAAGAAAGTTCCGTTGAAAGTTTGGCAAAATGTGTGTATGTTTTTAGAAATGATTAACTAAATTAAAGCCATGCTGATTCGAACTGTCCTATACATGCTAACAGATATTTAGAGTTGGTACGATGACCCTTAAACATGATAGCAAAACATGTGTGATAAAAATAAAGTACCATGTCAGGAAAACAAGGTTATTTATCACGCTTAACAACGGT